ATATATTTTATATGCAGAAAATTTATGATTGTACTATTTTTTTTTTCTTGTTCATAAATAAAAAAGAACACAGACATGTAGGTATAATGCATATTATGGAATTGGCGGTTGGATCGTACGTACGTATTACTTGAACAAGTAAATGTCGGGATTTTGACAGACGAAGCGAATGAACAAAACTATGCCAAACATATTAAATAAAGTCAGAGCTTCCTTTCATTTTTTTTCTTCATTAGTTGTAAGATTTCAACTATTATTTTACCTAACATCACTACCCTTGTCCTTGAAATATTTATTGAATTTTACCTTTCAAATTTATTTATATTCTATAGAAACCAAAAGTAAAGCATGATATTCTAAGCCTTACAGGACATATATATATATATATATATATCTTTATAACTCCAAAATACGTTTAAATTTAATCACAGATATAAATTAATCTTACATGTTATTATTGAACCATATTCTTCCAAGCTAAATCTAATTAAATGTAAAAGATAAACAAAATAAAAACTGAAATGAATTTTCTACAAACAATTCAGTAGACAAGAATTGTTTTTAAAGTTCAGTAGACAGGAGTTGTTTTAAAAAAAAAAACACAAATTAAAGTTGGTTTTTAAGAGATAACTATATTATAACAGGCAAATATATTGATTATGTGGAGAAATTGGATATGTTTCTAGATAGTTGTCGGTAGAGATTTATGCTCATATACTTTATGATTAGTATGGTCGATTTTGACTCTGCATGTATTATTAGAAAGAAACAAAACTGAATGTCTAATCTCTCCATTCAAACTAATTGATTATATGTACTTAAAAATGGTATCGTTTCAAAAACAGTCTATGCTTTCAAACAGTTAAAATGTTAGATGGTCATATTCAATCCGACTGGTCCAACTAGAACAAAACAAAACATGTTTGCAGAGTTTAATCAAAGCTTGCATCTACGAAAATAGAAATCAATAGCGAGTCAAACATGAATGTACTTATATAAACTTTACAAAGTAACTGAATCGGAGTGTTGGGGAGGGTCAGTAATTGTTTCTACCAAGGGTGTGGGTAAAGAAATTAAATGCAATGGGAGCTTCGAGGTCAATTCATGGAGTTGACAAAACAAAACAAAAAGAAATGAAAGACAAGCAAGGGATGGGTTTTCCAATAACATTCTGTTTTCAATTTTGTTACAGCATAACATAAAGGTGTTTGATTTTGAATTAAGTAATGAAGTGTGGGCTTGGATGTCTCATCAGTCATCAATTCAAGAGGATGTCTTGTTCTTAGACAAAGATTTTGAGGGTATCTTCTCTCTACAGTATTTATTTACTTTTACCCTTTCTCACATTATAGAAAAATAAATAAATAGTAATCTCTCTCTTTATGTGTGTATGGAAAAATAGGTGGCATTCACTAGCGTGTCCCTTGTTAAGCCACTCATCAACCTGAAATCCCTCCTGAAACCTTGTATTTAACTTTTCAGGCTTTTGAAGCCAAACCCATTCAGGCAATGGCATTACTTGATTTTAGTTAATTATCTTCTCAAGTCTCAACACAAACAACAACATAACTTGATGAGTAATATAGAAGATCATTTAGTAATTTTCCGGTTTATATCTTTATGGTACACAAGTTAACAACATCCAGATCTCACCCACTTCAAAATTCATTGTAAAGAACTCAAAGTGATGAAACCATTATAGACAACTCAAAAAGGTGAAACGCATTAGTGAAACCTTATTCAAGGGGATCTATTTCCCTTCAACAAGGTTCTGACTAACCTATTTGTAACTGCTGGCTCAATGCCAAGAACTTTAGTCCTATTGCTGTCATCAGATCTTGGTTGATAAATTATCTTTAAGAACAGTCGAGACCAAAAACAAAACCCATGACAAATTAGCTAGCCCCATGGGGCCGGCCTTAAGAAATTGTAGAAGCCCGGGGGATTCATTTTGACAAAAAAAAACCACATTTTTTATATGAGAACTAATAGAATATTATATTGGTAGAGAGTTAGACTTATTTTTTTGAAATATCAAAACCAAACGGCACTACAATACAGTAAATCGAGAAAAATCACTAAATGGATTACATTGTCCACTAGTAAATTTCGAAAATGTTTCATTCAAACCTTATGTAGAGTAATCCTTAACTGCTTCGAAACTCTCTTCTTCAAATATAGTTGAATCTCCTCGACTCCAGCAAACATCAACCTACTTTGTTTATGGTTCAATCCCTTTGCTTCATAAAGGTCAAGCTGTTCCAACACACGCCCGGTTCGAATCAAGTACTGTAGCACATGTATCTCGTTCGAGCCGCCACAAAAGTTTTTTACTTCCACAATCTTAAGCGTTTTTTCCAAACATTCGTACGTTTTGTTAGTAAGCCAATATGTTTTTGTATCTAGTGGCATCGAAGTTCTCTGCAAAATCCAAGTTAAGTTCAATTGTTTTAACAAATAACAAATTTTAAATGTATTTTGACTCAAAGTTGAGGTTACTGTAGATGAAAAAAAAAAAAACAAGTTACCAAGATACGCTCAGTAGTAACCATATCGAACGTGAGAGATTCCAATTTCGGACAGCTATTGAGAAACATCGAAATTCCCTCGAACTCATTTGCGTGCATATTAGTCTTCATCACCAAATGTTGTGTTTTCATTGGATCTTGCAAATCCATAGGATCATCGTAATCTTGGATCATCTTTTTCCAAAAAAAAAAGAGAGACATAAATAGACCCTCAAGAAGAAAAGCTGCTTAAACACAATGTTTAACGGTTGATAAAAGCTAGTCCCTAAAGACATCAATATCAATTGTGCATTTTATACCGGTAACGAAAATGAAGTCATCTCTTTGATATAAGAAGTGGAAATGTAATGTAGAATATTATAGATCATAAAGAACACTAAAAGAGCGAAAAACAATTTACCTGAAGGAGAAAGGAGCATATCGTTAAGTTCCTCACATGTAAAAGATTGTAAAAGAGACGAGAGATATCTAATCTGTTATTTTGATAATGGAACAACGTGAGCAAATGCTCTACTACACCAATTTTTCTTGGGATAGTGTTTGAGAAATCAATGACTAGATTTTTGACTTGTCTGGAGGCGGCAAATTCGATTAGAGACACGATATCTACTTCGAAACCCATTGGTTCGGAGAGACAAAGTTCGAAACGTTCGATTAATCTACCGGTAAATCCCGAGATCCATTGACGCATGATACGAACAAACAAAACCCTCTCAAGATGTATGTTTTCGATGGCTTTGTCATCAGTGACATATAGGTTTACGAACTCAGATTCTTTGAATACGAGGTTTGTCGTTTCACGACAAAGATTCCTCCATCGTTTAGAGAGAACACTCGTTCGTACAGATTCTTTGAAAGATAGGAAAGAGATGATCGAAATCAGAATGCAATTAGGTATATTCGAAAATAAATCTGATTTTCTTCCTGAACCCATAATGAAAATGTGATGATTTTCAAACAAACGAGATACAGAGATAATATGGTTTCTTGCGTATAAATTAGTGATTTCAACAGTTTAGAGAGTTATCTTTTTATATGCTTTTTAAATGATTAGATTTTTTTGGTTTGTGATGTTAGTGTTTTAACTTTTAAACAACTCTTTAACTTTGTTTTTCCTTTTTTTATTAACTAATATCTTTGAGTTTTGAACAAATATATTATAGACTTAGGATTGTGGTCTAAGAATGTTTATTATTAAATTTTTATTTAGTAAGAAATATCAAATTTTTAGTTTTAAGCTAAATGAATTTTAAAATAATGCGCACATTTTTTATAGAAATATTTAAAATATAGTTTCAGTTAGTTAAATTTGAATATGATCGTTTTTATATAATTTAATTTTTTGGTTTACTTACATTTTTTTAGTTATTTAAAATTTAAATATCAATTTGAATTATAGTTTTGGTTAACGTGAAAATAAGATTTATTTTATTTCATAAGAAAAATAGTTGAAAATAGTAAACAAGCTAGTATACATTTAATTATTTTTTGATATTATTCTATATTTATTTTACAGAAAATATTAAATTTAAATAAAAAATACTAAACAAAAGAATTCAAACTTTTTAACTATTGGATAAAATACTCTGAGTGATCTAAGTATTGTTTTTGCATTTAAAATGCATTATTGTGTGACATTTAAATAATTTTACAATACAATAAATAAAAGTATTAAATTTCTATTTGTGTAATTATTGAAACTTTTATATCACATTTGTCAAAAATTAGAGGATTATATATGATGAAAGTGGAGTAATTTTTTTAAGATCTTTTTTGTCAGTATTAGCATACGTGTTTTGTTTTAAAAGACTGTCATAAGGATACATAGATATCAACACGCAATTATTAATTAGAGTAAGATCTACTTGCATTGTCAAATGATAATACAATGTACATTATAATCAATATATGGAAAAAAAAATTCTATATATATATATATTTACACTAAAGTTGCCTAACTTGACAAAAACAAGAAAATAAAAAATAAAGTTTCCTAGCTTATCTTAGTGATATTTGTTATACATGTGAGAACTGATAAAAGAAAATAAGTGTAGCGGACATTAGAGAACTCAAATAAAATCAAGTTACAGTATCTAACAATGAAATAACCAATGAACTTATGCAAAAAGATTTGTTATTTCGTATTCCATTTTATCGGATATAAAATTCATAAATCATCAAGGACAAAACCGACTAAAAAAACAACCTGTCACTCTACTCAAACACATTTTATCGGATATAAAAATTTGACTCTAATTTTTGTTGTTTTGTTTTGATTTTCTTTGCTATCTACTGTATTACCGTATTACATCATTTTTGATTAGAAGATATTACATATCACGACGAGTTATAAAACTTTTCATTACATCCATAATCACCACAGAATATTCATTTAATCACGGACCAACGAGATTTTTCATCATTTTTCCTTATATATTTCTGCCATTAACTTTTAAGTCGAAAGGGTAATATTGGAATTTCGAGTAAATAGAAAACTGTCAGCGTCTGAATTTTCATTGTTTGATTTGCCCGACTCTTCTTTGGTTAACTCCATCCACGGTTCAGATCCGAGTTTGGGAGAAGCTCTATCTCTCTCTCTCTGTCCCTTATCTTTTCAGAAGAAGCGATCCTTCACTTTGTCTTCTCCGTTCTCGTCGCGATCAACTCGTCTGCAGCCTTCAGGTCAATGTTTGCTCCTTTGTTTGTTTTTGCCTCAAAACTCGATTTCACTTTCCCCTGGTTTTGTGGTGCGATTTCTTGAGTGTGATCGGATCTTCTCTTCCAATCATCTGATTCAACCGATTTCGAAAGATGTTGGAATTGCGTTTGCTACTTGATCTGTATTTTTTCTTCCTTGGCATTTCACGGATGCTTGTAGATCGTGCTTGTTATGCATTCTCGTTGATTGAAAAATGGTCAAATTGTGACACGATGATAACGAATTTCGTATCGGATCGTTTATTTTATATTTGGGTTTCGTAATCATTTATCGTTATCTCGTGGGCACTCGTGGTTTCATCTGATATGATTATGCTTCTTCTGTCCACACTTGTAGGGATTCGGATCAGTTCATTCTCAAGTGGTGCTAAGTTTCTCAACTATCCATGGATCAGGCGGAACTGACTATGGATCAGGTTGGTGTTATGATGTTATTTATCTTCATTTTGCGCCTTTTACGTATTCATAGGCTACACAATTACAGATTTTGACTTTCATATTTTGCATAGAGTATTGAACCTTTTTGTTTTGGTCTGAATATTAATTCTGAACATAAATTTTGTTGGGCGAGTTATGAATAATGACAGATTCAAACAAGAACATGGTAAAATGTCGTTTTAGATCTTTGCAACTTTGACTACTTAGAAATGCTAAAGATGTGTTTTTGTCAGATTTTTTTTTTCAGTTTGGTTGTATTGAAAAAGTTAACAGTAGTCTTACTTGTAGCTTACAAAATTCAATATGTGTTGTTGGTTTACCTTGCAGGTCTTGAAAAGGGATATTCCATGGGAGACATACATGACAACTAAGCTGATTTCGGCAACAGGTCTCCAGCTCTTAAGGCGTTATGATAAAAAACCTGAAAGTGCAAGGGCACAGTTGCTGGATGAAGTACATCTTCTACAACTCTCTTTTTCCCTCATTTCAAACAGTTTACAGAAACTTGAGTCAGTGTCTCAGTATTATTAGTGGTTGAAGTTGTATAATTACCATGCAAGCATTGACCTTGTCATTATGATGTGAGATGCTGTGTCGTTATTGCAGGATGGTCCAGCTTATGTTCATCTGTTTGTTAGCATCTTACGTGATATATTCAAGGAAGAAACAGTGGAATATGTTTTGGCTTTGATTTATGAAATGCTCTCAGGTAAATCAAACCTGAAGATATTTGCATTTATCTTTTCATCATCTTTTAGATACCGACTAATATTAATGCATCGACTGTTTGCCAGCAAACCCAGCACGAGCTCGGTTATTCCATGATAAATCTTTGGCAGATGGGGATACTTATGAGCCTTTCTTGAGGTGAGTCCCTATGCAATACTTTTAGGAAAGTATTGTTTCCCACGCTTCTTGGATCGAATCTGTTGTTTTTGCTTTGGAAAGGTGTAGGACTTATTGTATTCGTCTCATTCTCTTACTGGACCTATTGGCGAATCAGTTTATTAGTTCAACTACAATCTTCCTGACAAAGGGGAAACATATGTAAAACTCCATTGGGGGAAACTGCTATCAGATGCATTTTTGCTTGATTTTGTCTGTCTATCTTCAATGTATGCAAGCGAAAAGATATGTCCTCTTTCAGGTTGCTGTCGAAGGGAAATTGGTTCATTCAAGAAAAAAGCTGCAAGATCCTTGCCTGGATTATAAGGTATTGTAGAGCTCAGTACTGCTTATTATACTTTATTAAACATGCATGTACCTAACAGACAGCATCGTTTAATTGGCGGGTCTTGCTCTTCTCTCAAAATATAGTGCTAGGCCAAAAGCTGGTAATGGTGCTATTGCTAATGGAGAAGCTTCGGGTTCGAAGAAACCTATTACTACAATTGATGGTGTACTCAAGGGGTTGGTGGACTGGCTTTGTGCTCAGGTTCTTCTTATTTTCTCTTTCTCTGTTTCCTCTTTGTTTTATTTCTAGTTTAAGTTGGCCGTGCATTGGTGTTTCAGTGTTAATGATTCTTGAAAATCATTTGATATTCATCATAAAATTCACAATCCTTAATTTTGAAATGCAGTTGAAGCAACCTTCTCATCCTACTCGTGGTGCTCCGATTGCGATCAGCTGTCTGTCGTCATTGCTCAAGGAACCTGTTGTCAGATCATCGTTTGTTCAGGCAGATGGGGTGAAATTACTTGTCCCTTTAATCTCCCCAGCATCCACTCAGCAGTCTATCCAGGTAACTATATATTTGGCGGAAAGGCGATGACTAGACAAACACTCGGGGTCTTTGAAACCTATTTTGATTTTTAAATGACTACTAAATCTGTGGACTTATGTTGCTCCCTCATTCTCAAGTGTGGGCTGGATAGTTCTATTTCAGTTTCTCATTATGTCATAATTTCTCAGTAACTAATTCTTGTGATTTGTATGCTTTCGACCATCAGCTTCTCTATGAAACATGTCTCTGCGTCTGGCTGCTGTCCTATTATGAACCCGCAATAGAGTTCTTAGCAACGTCTAGGACAATGCAAAGGCTTACGGAAGTGGTTAAGAGCTCGACTAAGGAGAAGGTGAGCTATGTTCTCTTCTGTGACTAAGCCATTCCCATCCTCCAATATATTTAAATCATATGACACGATTTGACTTATCAATCAGAATCTCTATCCTGCAATACCATGAATTCAGTTTTTTTTCTTCTTGGATGATAAATTTTGTGCGATGCACTTGGTATGTATATCTGACAATATTTTTGAAATATAGGTTGTCAGGGTGGTCATATTGACATTCAGGAACTTGCTTCCAAAAGGTACATTTGCTGCCCAGATGGTTGATCTTGGACTCCCACATATCATCCACAGTCTGAAAACACAAGCATGGAGTGACGAGGTAATAAGACAAAGCCTGAGGACTGCTTCTTATTAGCTGTTATTGTTGAACATGAATATCTTATTTTTCTGCTAAATCTACAGTGAGAAAATCTGGTCATATAAGTAGTTGCTTCAGCATATGCCTTTTATTGCAAGCATGATCGTGGTTAAAACCTGTTTAATTCTGGATTTGTTAGGACTTGCTGGATGCACTGAACCAACTAGAAGAAGGACTAAAAGACAAGATCAAGAAATTGAGTTCCTTTGACAAATATAAGCAAGAGGTTCTTCTTGGCCACCTTGACTGGAACCCAATGCACAAGGAGGCCAATTTCTGGCGTGAGAATGTCACTAGCTTTGAGGAGAATGACTTCCAGGTATTCATCTTCGTTCCTCTCTCTCCTCAGCAACCACCACTTGTAGGGCTCAAAGCGGGCCTGTTTGGTCCATCACAACAATGCTAAGCATTTGTTTAAAACTTGTGGATGCAGATACTGAGGGTCCTCCTCACAATCCTGGACACGTCAAGTGATCCAAGATCATTGGCGGTGGCATGCTTTGATCTCTCACAGTTCATACAGTACCATGCAGCGGGGAGAGTGATCGTGACAGACCTCAAGGCGAAAGAACGAGTGATGAAACTGATGAACCATGAGAACGCTGAGGTTACCAAGAACGCACTCTTATGCATTCAGAGGCTTCTCCTTGGTGCTAAGTACGCTAGCTTCTTGCAAGCTTGATGGGACTTCCATGTTTCTTTCTATATTTGGAAAGTAATCAAAAACACACAGCTTGTGTTTCCCCTTTTTTCCTGTGGATTTGTTGTTAAACCTGCGCCAACTCCTGCCTGCATCTTTGCTTTCGATTCGACATTCCAAGACCATCTCTTTATTATTTGTCCTGGAAAATCTGCTATTGTATGCTTAAATAATTTCTGCGCTGTTTTTTTTTTTTGTATTTATTTATTCAATAAAAAGGCCTTGAGGGAATGCTACTGTTACAGACAGCAATTTTGGGCCAGTTTGTTGTACGACTGAAGTGAGTTTCAGCTTATTTGCGGATGAGATATATATGGTTTACTTTGGTTGCATGAAAAAGATTTATGATCTATTTCCTTACTACTACTGCATTCGCCTAACGATCGGCCCAGTGGAAAAACTGAAAACTTGCTCACATATTGAATTTGTTCGTGCCATCCATTATTACAACATATCAATCATTTGTTTCTGTCTAATCTTATTATCATGTACTTTAAAATTGCACACATACATACACACAATTATAAAGGTATGCTACGGACCAACCAACAAAGAGAAAAGGAGATGAAGTGAATCACTTGATGAGAATGCATCTCGTTGGTGCTCCTTCCGCTCCAACCAATCTCAAAGGTAAGCAATGAAGCGAGTACATTCCTACCTCTACATCATCCAGCTTCAGCGCTTCCACAGGGATTATATCCTGAAAATCGTATGCGTATCTCACGTGTTAAAGACAGACATGCCTCAGTCTCACTGTTACGCCTTCTTAACTAGCTAGCCACCTATCTCTCTCAGTTTCTTGTCTAGTGAAACAGCTGATGTTTCATCATCATATCCCATGGTTTGATATCCAAACATCACAAGAGAAAAAGACATAGATAGTTTCCTCCACAAGTGGCAATGCAATGGCAATTTTCAAGAAACATAAGCAATGTTTAGGTACTTGAAACTATTATAGAGAAGATATATATATACTCACCCTTCCTGCAAGTATAACCTTGTGCGTTGCAGGTGATTCCTCAAAAGCAGCAAATGAAAGATAATCAAGCCCTGGATTTCAAGAGTAACCCGTCTCAGGAAATGAAATACGAGCTAAGAAATACTCTTTACGATATGATAACATCGTAACAACACACGAACATAAAAAAAAAAACGAAAATCCATCTCTTACCAACAAGTTTGATGTCTGTATTCTCAACCAACCATTTGGCACCATCGGTCATGAACCCAGCAAAGCTTGAATCGAACGCTTTCTTAAACATAAGCCGCCTGATAATTCAACCAATGAAGAAACCAGTGTTTTCAGGTTCGAAACGAGAGTAAGCTTTGATCACAGTAAGATTTTTGTTAACACTCAGACTTTACCTGTCGGTGTTGACTGTTCTGAAGAGCACACGACGAACTCCCCTTGGAATATGAAGTGATTTCATCACCTCAGCTATATAATTCAACCCAATACATTAGACAAAGACCCTTTCTAAGAAAAGAAATCCCTAATATCCAGTTATAATTAAACTCACCAGTGATGTTCTTATCTCTCGGAACATCAACCAACAGAGCAGGACCTAAACGAAATTACAGAGGTCAATTAAAATGATCAATGAAACAGCTTTTTTTTTTTTTTTTTTTAAAGACAAAGATTCCGAGACGATTTACCGTTGAGGACTTGGAGGTCAAGCGAATCGGAATCGAAACCAGCGTCGTAATACTTGTCAATGAAGTGGCCTGGAGCATCCACGTGGGTTCCAGAGTGAACAGACATTTTCATCTCCGATACGTTAGCGAAGGATCCATTCTTCATACTCGCCGCCAGCCGCAGGAAATTCACCATTCCCTCCGACGACTCCCAAGCCGGCATCTCCGGCGAGTAACGGTGGCTGATGTCGAATATCTTCCCTCCGCCATATACCTCCCGTCGGACTGGCTTCAGATCGTCGGAGCGTTCCCCTGCGACGCCGAGGAGATGTGAGAGGGAGAGGACAGTGGCGGCGAGGAGGAGGAGAGGGAAATCGACGGAGCGGGTCATTTGTCTCGGGTCGCGGGTTAGCTGATGGGTATCGATCAAATGGATCGGTGTTGTCAAATTTATAATAAAGAACCGTTGAATTTTTGACTTTTGACTTTGGCGAAGCCGTTTATGTTGACTCTGTTTTTTCCTTCGGGAAATTAGTTATGGCGATATATTATATACAGTCACTCGAAGATAAGATTTGGAAAGAAACATAGCATCATGATATGGATGTAGTTGAGTGTCGTTGTCCCAAACGTAGGAGTTTTCTTTCGGTGGAAGAAGATAATACGTATAGAGACAATCATAATTGAGAAACATTGAGAGAGCCAAAACAAAAGACTAAACATGGATTTGCATTCTGATGAATGTAGAACTTAAGTGATATGACAAATTACAACAACAAAAAACACATGTCACATGATGACAATAAACACATGGGGGGGGATTTTATCAGTTTTTAGAAGAAGACTGGAAGATGAAAACCGCAGTTAGAACACCAACCAATGCTGTAACAGCCAAAGCAACCGTGGGCAATGGACTCGCTACCCCAAAGTTCTGAACAATAACAAATGTTCACATATTAGATCAGAACTTGAGCTATTATATGGTTTTCAACATTTCTCAAATTGCTTTTACCAAAACAAAAAAAAAAAAGTTTCATTTTGTCATAATCAAAATTATCATAGTATTGAAATTTACCTCAAGAAGTCCTTTGCCAGTGGCGACCTCAACAGTAATGGCGACTGCAAAACCAATCATAGCGCCACGACCAAGCCATATGTCCAAACCGTTGCCTCCTTCTGTACTTTGCTCGCTTCTAATGGAAACTGGTGCTCCTCTCTTTCCACTTCTTCCTCCTCCACGAGTCATCCTCATCTTCAATGGCACTGAGACAGATGCAGAGACACAAACAAATTAATAACGAAAGTTTATGTTTTTGGGATTTTAATCACCTTACACAAGCAAGAGTGCATAAAGCATCCAATTTGTATGACAATTGCAAGCAATTAGTTACCAACTCAATCTGAAAATTTCCCCTAATTCCAAAAAGCCCCAGAATTCAGCTAATTAAGATACCCCAGAAACCTAATTACAACTTTTCAAATTTTACATTAGAAAATCAGGAAATTAGCTCAGGACTAAGGAGGACGTACAGAGAGGAGAACCAGAAGCGAAGGTAGATCGGCTTCCAGCAAGTTGTGGTACATGAACCCCACAAGTAGAACTAGGGTTTGTGATTCTGGCTAGCTTTATGGCGCCAGGATCTGGCAGGATAAAGTCCGAAACTATTCAGATACATTACTACAAGAGTGAAGCATAACGAGGAGAGAAAGAGAGAGTACTGGGAAGAGAGAAGGCGAGAGACGCAGAGAGCTGAGATAAGGCCATGTTCCTTCTTCTATGTAGATATTATCTAGCGCTCTTAATTCCCAATTGGCGCCACTCTTCTTCTTCTTCTTCCTCTTCCTCTTCTAATCCTTTCGTCGTCGCAGAATTATCTGTTCGAACGAACGACACGTGTCTTCTCTCCACTCATTAAGTTCGTATCTTGTTACAACATTTTTTGGAAACGGCTGCGTTTCACAGACTAATCATATTTGAACCAAACCGAACAACCAACGCGAACCAATTTAAGAATTTGATCGGATTATGATTTCATTTCTTTATGGTTGGTTAAATTGATTTTGTTAGAATTGCCGACGAGAAAGTGTTTCGTTCGATGTTTGGTCCAAATTATCATGGAAATAATTTTTATCCAGAGAAGAAAAAAGCACTAGAATCATGAAAACCTCAAAAGTTTCAACATTACCAAAACTGTAATAAAATCCAAGATGACATTATTGCCTAAACCATCAAAACGCAAACCCCTTAAACAAAAATCCTCACATTCAAGATTTCAAGAATCAAAACACAAAGACACCACAAACTAGAGCTTGAGGAAGACAAACTCCTCGACCGCTGGGATTTCCCCAATCTTCTTAAGAGTCTCCTTGCTTGGCTGATCATCTACTCCGATCGCCATAATCGCCTGCTTCCTCGGTGCGATTCTTCCAACGCTCATGAAGTTAACATTGACGTTAGACTCTCCAAGGATGCTCCCGACCGTCCCGATCATACCTGGTTGATCCACCTGTCTGCACAGTATGATGCTACCGTCAAGAGTCACATCCACCTCGAATGATCCAACCTTTGTCAAATGCGGCACTCCGTCTTTCACCCTTCCTTCCACTTTCACCTCTCCTGATTCTGACAACGAACTCGCGAATTTGGACTCCACGTTGCCTAGCTGAACCGTTATTGTCTCCAACGGGTTCTCTGGTGACCCGTCCAAGAGCACACGCTCCTCCGAGAGCCTGAGACCTCTCTGCTTGGCTGTGAAATCGGCGTTCACCAAGTTCACATATACGTCAGAGATTGGCTCGATGATTCCCTTGGTGATCATGGCTCGAAGCAGTCTTGTGTCCAGGTCGTCAGTGGCTCGTGCCGAGGTGTATGAGACTTTCACGTTTTTCACGCCGCTTCCTCCAGCCACCAGTTGAACCGCTAGTCTCCCCAATTTCTCAGCGAGTATCACATACGGTTTCAGCTCAGTCAGAACCTGCGGATGCAAAATATGATGTAAGCTTTGAGCAGATAACAGGCAAAGCTATGAAACTGCTATTCTTATTACACTCCTCAATAGCTGCTCTCTAGCCAACTCAGAACAGCTCTATTCTGCTACATTTGCTGAACTTCTTCCAAACTTCTCAGAATCTCATTAAACAAAAAGAGGCTATCTTTGATTTAAGTTTCGAATATGATGAAGCAAAAAAAACATCTGCACTCACCTCAGCAGAAACCATAGGTGCATTGACTGCAGTAGCAGCAAGCTCTCCATTCAGAGCTCCAACAACAGCTTCAGCAATTTCGATGGCAACTCCTTCCTGTCAAAGCCAAAACACGAACTAAATAACAGAAGCGAAACAGCAAAAACATGATTACATATCACCAGAATCGTAACACAAATTGCACACCTGAGCCTCCATTGTACTGGCTCCAAGATGAGGTGTCACAGTGACCCTCTCGTGCTGCACGAGCTTGCTGTCTTTAGCCGGTGGCTCTTTAGTGAATACATCAAGTGCAGCCTGAGCAACGATGCCAGAATCCAGGGCTCTCACCAACGCGTCTTCGTCTATGACACCTCCACGAGCAACATTGACGATGCGAACTCCTTTCTTCATCTTGGCAAAGGTCTCGTCGTTTAGTATCTTGTTTGTTGCTGGGGTAAGAGGCATGTGCAGAGAAATGAAATCCGCGGTGGCGAGGGCTTCGTCGAAGCTCACTAGGTCAACACCAATGGCGTGTGCACGGTCTGCTGGGGCATAGGGATCATGAGCGATGACACGCATGCCAAGACCTTTGGCACGACGAGCAACTTCCGTCCCAACTTTCCCGAATCCCAACACTGCAAGCGTCTTTCCAACAAGTGAAACACCCACATACTTGTTCCTCTTCCACTCTCCTGCATTACAGAGATATTAACACCAAGATCTTATAGAATAAAAAATATCCACCAAGTCAATAAGATCACAGTCACTACACACATACAAGAATCCTCAAAACTCAAATTCTTGGCCAACATCCATCAACAAGTTTTGGCGAAATACAACCATTATAACTAAACTTGTAATCAAGAGAAAAAGGAAAGCTCATAATCTAGATTTGTAAATTGGAATGCCATCAATCACAGGTATCAAAATAACAAAAACAATAAAAAAATATAGCAAAGTACGGAAAGTATGAAACTGACCAGCCTTAACGGACGCATCAGATTGTGCGACGTTCCTGGCCATGGCAGCCATAAGTGCGATTCCGTGCTCAGCGGCAGCGATCGTGTTCGCCGTCGGCGCGTTGACGACCAGACACCCAAACTCCGTGGCTGCGCTCAGATCCACGTTGTCGATCCCAACACCGGCGCGTCCAACAACCTTGAGGCGTCCGCGAGACGATTCGAACACCTCACGCCCAACTTTGGTCCCACTCCGAACGATCAACGCGTCACAGAGCGAGATCTTCGTGTTGAGCTCCTCGGGCGTCATGTTATACGAGCAGTCGACATTCGCGAAATCCTCCAAGAGCTTTACACCAGCCTCGCCGAGCTTCTCGGCGACGAGGATCGTAGGCTTGGATCCGTCTCCGGCGGTGCAGGACACGAGAATGAGACGCCGACGAGGAGCATCGCGGTTGCGAGAAGGGAAAGCGACGGAAATGGCGGATGGGAGAGGCGATCTGGAGGAGAGAGTCAGGCTCTTGAGGGGGTTGGTAGCGACGGAGATCGCGGAAGATGCGGCGGCTGACATTGCTACCGCTTTAGGAGTAGTGAATAAATACTGTGTCAAGTGGGGAAAATGTTGGTGGCACGAGGGAGAGATCTAAAGGGTTTACAAGGCGATGTTGGGGGTTTTATAGTCGGCTTACGGGTTTGGTGTGATGTGATATTGTTGTTGTAGAAGGCGATCGAATCTCACGCGCCTTGGAAATATAATATACTTATAACATTTTTTTATCTTTGCCCCAAAAAAAATACTTATAACTCTTTTCTGTCCTTTCTTATAAAAGCTTTAAAATCTTATGGTACTAATCCAAAAAAAAAAAAAAAATTCTAGAAATCCATAAAGCATAGTCCATTTATTTAATTAAACTAAATAATGAGTAATTACTTGTAAGCTAACGCTGCATCAAAATAAGGTGTCACGCGTGTGTAACACTTTCCAGGGTGAGAATGTGAGTATTGTAATTCCCAAATGATTCGGCGAATAGAGTTGCATCTATTTACAGAAAAGTAGCCAAACCAAAAACAACGATGGCAACTTCGAGGAAAAGTCAAAATTATTTATTTATTTACAGGTATCTTAGATTTTTGTCACTACAAAAATATTTACAGCTTCAAAGATTTTGGTAATCAAGCTTCCAAAGAATTGAGCTTATTCAAACACAACAGAAAACTCAAAATGAGTAACTTTTTGAATGAAGCAGGAATGTGTAAAATATACGTACTTTATACTTACATGAGAAGTGTGGCATGCTAAACACAAAAACTTATTAAAGATTTAATGATTTTCTAAGCGAATGACCGTGGTGCAAACCCAAATAGCAGGAAATGGTCCCATTAATAATAAACAGGCTATGCACTAAAGAGAGTTGCAATTTCAGTACTTAAAAAATAGTTGAAGACTTCAAATTTGAATTGAACTGGACCTATAAAGTATGAACCTCCAATTTAATTTTCAGGGCAAGTTGTCCGTTTGTGTCAGCTTACGCATACAAAGAAAAAAAAAAAAAAAGTAGTAATATTACATATAGACTACAATAAACTTTATTTTCCGGTGGTCAAATATTACAGTATGAGCCTTTTCTTACTTATTGGGAATATTTCGAAGGATATACTATTACTGATGGCTGTGACGTAAGTATAATTTATGGCACGTGAAAGATTTGCTTTAGTGTTTCTTCAACTGCATAGAGATGCATCGTTTTTGGTAGGTCGACCTGTCGAATACCCCTTACATATACTATGCAGCCGCGGGTGCTTTATTGTATACTGTTGAACTTTCTTAGATGAACATTTTTGAGTTTTGGCTTTTGTTGAATGAATTAGAGACAAATGTATAATTCGTTCTTCCAGATTGATAATAACATTATAAGTAAAAAAGTGCTAGTCCGCCACGTCCATTTCTAACTTCAATGTGACAAATGCAAATTATATTACAGTATGTGTTCTCTGTAGGTAAAAGAATTACATTGTTTGAAAAATCAGCACCACCACTTAAACTGCACATCTCCTTTTGTGAAACGAAGACAAACATCTACAGAGCTTATTGATCTCACTTTTTCTGCTAGATCATGTGGAAAGACCAAGTACCTGATCTTCAACATGTATAACCTGAATAATAATTTAAAAAAAATTGAAGGTCAATTCAAAAATGCAATATCAATGGTAATACTAATGTAACATAGCTTTACATTTGTGTGTGAACCACAGCAACTTTCTTAGACGTTATTGTACATACGAACTCTACTCTTAAACTTGTTCGTCTCATTATCAGAAATGGCGTATCTAAGCTCCATGTTGCACACCAAGCTTCTAGTTTCTCTGGAATAAAACTTATTTCGAGTCTCGTGATATCCATCTAGCATGTACACTATATAAGGACTAATGAACAAAGGACTAAGCATGGGACTGTTACAACTACTGATGTCAGACTCCATCAGGTGCTAGAACAAACAGGTTGTTCTTAACTCTGAGCATTAATAATTTACCATTCCCTTATTACAAGCCTCCGTGATATCCATATAGCATTAACACTATAAACACATGGTGAGAGTGATGAAGCTTAATACAAACTTACTTCATTGTCTAGCAGAAGTTGGATAGGTAAGCTTGTGCTAAGGAGAGACCGAGTTGGACTTGAGCCTCAGTGGTTAAGTGAAGATTGTCCGGCTTTAACGGCAATCCCTTAGCATCTACACAGACCACATTGGATAGTTTCAGACCAAACTGTGCTTCTCTCACCTTATCTATGTATCCTCCTCCCGATGCTATTGCCACCTGCTTCAATCAAACCAACACAAATTACTAATTTCCAAAAAAAAAAAGATATCACTTTCAGCAACAGTACGACAACCTTAACTGTTCCCACTTCTGAAGAAATTGAACTTGATGACAGAAATCGAAACGACGGAAGATAAGAGGTAGACCTGAATAATGGGAAGAGAAGGGAGGTTGAGATCATGACGAAGGTTCTTAATCAGACGGTCCATATTGCTCCCGTAGCTCTCGGCGTCGTGGATGTCCAACACGTCACTCTCTCCTTGGTACCAAAGCACAGCCTTGATCTCTCCGCCGCATTTCCTGCTCTCCTCCGTCCTCTTAACCATCGTCTCGTACAAGTGGCTCCCACGCGCCCACTCTTTTATCGGCGTTCCACCTGAGGCGCACGGGACCAGGCCGATCACGGCCGAATCTGTGTTCAACCGATTCCTCACCGCGTTCGCGAACGCCATCCCCGGGCCCACGCCGCACACTTTTCCGGTGTCGATGTCAACGTGGAGTGGCTCGCGCGCTTCCTCCCAACGGAGATTTGCGCTCAGGCGGAGGATCGATGAGTCAGGTGCGCATTCCGGCGGAACGATTTGATCCCATTCCCAGCGATTGTGGTGGTGGTCCTTGATGACGCCGCCGCGTCCGGCCATGTTGCTTTGTCCGGAGAGAACAAATATCTGATTTGGAGGTTGAATCTCAAGTTTCTCCGAGCCGGAATCGGTAGATCCTCCTTCCATTTCTTGAAGATGTTGTGAGGATTTTCACCCACTGTGTCGAGAGATTAGTCGTAATTTAGAGAATATAGTAGGTGAAGCAATGTCGGTTAGAATAAAATACTAAAGACAAATATAACATAAATATATTTTTTAAAATTATTATGTCATTTCTGCAAATACCAAAAAAGAGGTGCTATTAATGATTATTGAGAAATTGGTTATTGAACTAAATGATCTTATATTTTAAAGTCTGTTTCTTTTTGTTTATTAAAATTATTATATAACACGAGACATTATTGAGACTTTGATGGAATCCATACGAAACAAAAGCTAGAAGTTGGTTATGATAACAAAAACGGTTATCTGACTCTCTCTCTCTCTCTCTCAAACACGAACAGAAACCATCGAACTGAAAGAAAAGACACAACCTTTTAAGTCGATGTCGAATTCCGAAGAATCACCACATAAGAAGAAGAAGATGGAGAAGATGGAGGCGTGTCCGGAATCGTGGTTGCCAGATCATGTGGCTATGATCTGCCTGGCTCGGCTCTCGAGATCGGACCACGCGGCCTTATCACTCGTCTCCAAGAGGTATCGCTCTCTAGTGGCTTCCCCTGATCTGTACGAGACCCGATCGCTGATGGGTCTCACCGAGACATACGTCTATGTATGCTTACGAGCCCCTCCTCCTGACCCAACCCCACGCTGGTATATCCTCCGCCGTAGAAAAACCCTAGACGCCTCCTCCTCCATTCTGATCCCGATCCCTTGGCTCCCTTCTCAGGCTCCGGAAGCATCCTCCGTGGCGGTGCTGGATTGGGGTATCTATGTAATCGGTGGATTGATAGAAGGGAAGCCCACTTCCGACGTCTGGCTCTTAGATTGTCGGAGTCACACGTGGTGCCGCGTCCCTTGCATGGGAGTGGCTCGAGCTTCAGTGGCTATTGGTGTCGTAGGCGGGAAGATTTACGTGTTAGGAGGCTGCAATATCGATGATCGTTCCTTGAGTTGGGGAGAGGTATTCGACCCAAAGACCCAAACTTGGGATTATTTGCTGGGGATGCGGACTCGGAAGAAACACCATCAGTATACCCACGGCAGTGTGGTGAGGGATGAAAAGGTGTACGCAGTGGATGGAACAGATAGAACCTTGTACTACTCGCCGAGGGAAGGTAAATGGGGAAGAGGGAATCATGGTCAAGAGCAAGGAAACCCAAGGGACTGGTGTATGATTGACGGTTTGATCTACTGTATTACTAGAAATGGGAATGTATTTTGCAGTGAGCCAGATGAGTTGGAGTGGCGTGGACCAGAGGGGCGGATGGTTTCTAAAGAGGTCAATGGTTTAGACTCTCTGAAGGAGAGTCTCCTTCCTTCCAGACTCCGCCACTTTGACAGGGAGCTTGAGGATATATGGGACGAGAAGAAGATCAGTCGTGGTACAACCCTAGAGAGCTGGTAGATTTACTTCCCGGGGCCAGACTGAGCAACTCTGGTGGGAAGAACATTTTGCTCTTCTGGGACGTCATCAAGGGGGATCGTCTTGAGATTTGCTGTGCGGAAATCTCTTTGGAGAAACGCCAAGGAGGCGAGATGTGGGGGAATGTCGTGTGGTCTAACGCTGTCATGACCGTTGATCCTTTCCTAGATCACTACAAGGTTTTGCATTCTGTTTCTGTCACCCTTTAAAACCTCTCAAAATTCTTCTTCTAATCCATTAGTCATTACTTAGTTGTTTGAGCTTCTCGTCTGTTACTCGTTACTCGTTCCTTTTCCCTTTCTAATAGTTTGATGAATTGTTTATGTGAGATCGAGTTCCTGGTCCACTGTGTAAATATATTTTCTTTTTCTTATAATGTTCGTGTCTCATACTTCACTGTAAATGTAATAATCTGAGTAATAATAACACAAAATTGAAGATCAACCTAAAAGTGCAATATCAATGGTAATACTAATGTAACATAGCTTTACATTTGTGTGTGAACCAAAGCAACTTTCTTAGACGGCCGTTATTGTACATACTAAAGTCTCTACTCTTAAACTTGTTCGTCTCATTATCAGAAATGGCGTATCTAAGCTCCATGTACACATCACGGTATTTCGTGTGCATAGCTTGACTAATTAGTAGGATATAGTTGTATTATAGATTAACTAGAACCAAAAACAAAAAGAGTTAGGAATACACAGCTTATAGGACAGAAAGTAAATCTAAAACACGCACGAGACAAATCCATTTTATAGGTTGCCCACGACTTATGCTACTATATATTACTCAAGAAGTCAAACGTCTAAACATACATTTTCTCCAACACTTGCACCACTTCTTTCATAGACGGTCGCTTCTGAGGCAAGGAAGAGACACATTCAATCCCTAACCTAAAGCTCTCCTTTGCAACATCCTCATACCGAGCCAAATCACTCCTTATTGCACCGTCGATCAACTTCAAGAATCGGCTTTTCTCTTCTGCTTCAAAACTGGTTAAATCATCTATATTTTGATCGACCGAGAAAACTTTGCCTGTGAGAAGTTCTAAGAGTATGACGCCAAATGAATAAACATCCCACTTAGTGTTTGGTTTCTGACTCGTAGACCATTCCGGTGGCTGGTACGGTGAGCTTGGTCCAGTGGTGTGAGGTTCACGCGCTGGTGTCATGAGGCTGTCTAGGCCCAGATCTGTGATGATGGGCTCATTCTCAGAGCTCAAGAGAATGTTATTGGGCTTTATGTTACCGTGCACATGTTTCTTCTCGTTGATGTAAGATAGTCCTCGTGCCAATCCTCTTGCTACCTTGAGCCGTGCCTCGAAACATAGTGGGTTTTGCAACGATGATGTCGACGAGCTTGAGCTTGCCTTTGCTGTTCGTAAAGGAACACAAGGAGCAGTGTTAAAACTTTAAAAGCAAAGTGATGAGCGTATTTTTGGTTAGTGCTAATGTGCGCCAAACAATGGGCGTAATTTAGAGAGGAGAGGATTTTTTTTTTTTTGGCTTGGTAGGCCTGAGGAAACAGAGGGAGAGAAGAACTTACTGGCGGCGAGGGAGCAAAGGAGGCTGCCGTTGGGAACATAGTCGGAGATTAGAAGCTTCTCGTCGTTTCCCCAGCAGAACCCACGAATTCTGATGATATTTGGGTGTCGAAGCTTAGCGATGGTTCGAACCTCCCGCTCAAATTCCTTGAGTTTCACCGTCGCACAGCTCTCCGTCTCGATCCGCCGCACCGCAAATGCCGTGCCGTTCTCCAGCACCGCCTTGTACACGATTCCGGTTCCGGTGGTTCCCAATACGTAAGCAGACGCCTTTAGTAGAGTGTCTAGATCTAGCCTAGTCTCGCCGTCTACTGTGATTAGTCGAGTCTGAGCGTTCTGTTTTAGACGCCCACCATCTGTTCGGCTGAATGCCTGAACTGCCTGCTGGTTCTCTACGTCGCTCTCTGATGTCGATGTCTCGTCGTAGCCTCCTCCGTTCAAGATTATGCACGAGCCGCATGCCGTTTTTGCATCTGGTGAATCTGTGGCTTTGACCTCCGTGACGCTTGGTTTCGGTTGGTGATTCGATTTCTTGGCTTCGCTTTTGTCCAGACACGTTGTGAAGAAGCCGAATGTGCTGGATTCTGGGGACCTTCTGCGTTTTCTGACCTGGTGCACGTAGAGCACGAATAGACCTATGATAGCTAGACCAGCTATGTTTGCAACTGTGATTACGGCAATGGTGCTTGGCTTTAGCTTGCTTTCTGCAGTCTGAATGGGTGATTCTGTTGAAGGGTTTATTGGAGCCGGGCTTCTGGGCTTGACCGCTATCGCCGGTGAAGTATTTTCAGGGATATTTGGAGGGTTTGAAAGAGTAGAAGGAATTGAGCAAAGGGTCTTCAATGGCTTCCCGCACAGCTCTGGGTTACCAGAAAAAGACTCGGCCTTTTGGTTGAGTAAAGAGAGGGAACTAGGGATTGGGCCTGTGAGATTGTTAAAGGAGACATCGACTGTGGCGTTTGGTGGAAATTTCTCTGCAAATCCTGGAGAAATCACGCCCGAGACTTCGTTGTGTGATAGGTTCAAGTAATGCAAGCTTCTCCCTCCCAAATCCGTAGGAAGAGAGCCGTTGAGAAGATTTGAAGAAAAATCAAGAACCTGTACTGCTTCGAAACCACCTGGAACATCACCTGAAAAGGAGTTCTTTGTCAAGGAAACGACCGTTAGATTCTTCAGAAGTGAGAGGCTGGGCGGAATTTTTCCGGTAAAGGCGTTAGCAGAGAGATTCAAGAGCTGGAGACTCATCACAGTGTTGACACTCTTGGGCAAATCGCCAGAGAGATTGTTGCTTCCAAGGGAGATAATCCGAAGCTCAGTGGCGTTGAAGACCGAGTCCGGGAGTGACCCGTTGAAGAAATTGCTGGACAGATCCAAGGTCTTTAGATGCGGAATCGAGAACAAGTCGGGAGTGACGGAACCAAGAAGGTGTTTGCTGGGAAGTACCAAGCTTGTGACCCTGAACATGTCTGGTGTGTTGGGCATCCCAAGCTCTGTACAGGTGACACCTGTCCACAAGCATGGTGTTTCATCATCGTAGTTCCAGTTGCGTAGAACAGAGAGAGGGTCATTGAGGATGGAGTATTTGAAAGAGAGCAAAAGAACACCATCAGTGCTGAGAGCTTGGAGTTGTGTGGGGACAAGAAGAAGGTGGAAGAGGAATAACGAGAAGAGGTTGCTTCTGTTGAAAGTCATGGTTTTTGCAGTTCTTGGTATCGACCTCTCTTGTTGTTACATATGGCTCTGCATGTTCATAAGAGAAAGAGAAAAAAGAGAGAGAGAGAGGTTGAACCACTGCAAGTAATAGTTGTTCAGGTCACCAAATCTTATGTGGTATTGGAGCAATCTATGAGATGTTGAAGGAGAGAGAATTTTAATGAGGCGGAGTTGATGAAAGAAGCTTTTGACTAGACATGGGGACAAGGTGTAGAATCAATGATTCATCGGTGTAAAAAATGTAAATGAACAGCTGCCAAATTTATGCTCATATAAAAAAAAAAATTATTTCATTCAACAATGAAAAAGAAAAAAAAAGAAAAAAGCAATTCATGGGAGAGAATAATTATGACTGTTTGCTTTTAGGGTGGTCTATGGTTTACCAGAAGAAAACAAATAAACTTAGCTTTTTACTTTAGCAGAAATCATGCTGTTGAGTTTTTATTTGGAAAATGCGGCCGTAGAATCTACAAAGTTTTAAGGGATTAATCACCGACCATACTGACCAAGATTAATTGTACATTTCAGATATATCGGTGATTATGTGTTTACTGATTTAGTACTCTACTTTGTTCTCTCAGAAGTTAAAAAAATCCGTTTAGGTTTTACCAAAAACAAAGGGGGGTTCGTGTGAAATGGAACCACACATATAAATCGGAGACAAAAACAAGGGACACCTAACTGACATGTCAGTTATCCTCATCTTTAATTTTATTTACTTTTTATATATTAAAACATACTCTACAGAGCTTGATTATTCTGTAAAATGTTCACATAACTTATAGCTGACAAACCGAGTGTTGAGGAAAAATTCGAAAAGCTGAAAATATTCCTAATCCGAACAAAGTAAACCAAGATTAAAAAACATATAAGAACTGAGAGAAGCCAAAAAAACATAATCAATGGAGAAAAAAAAAAGAGAGGAAAGGCACGAGTGGATGGCTAATGGCCGCATCGCTTTCAGTGTAGCCAGTAGACGAATATAAAACAGATAACAGAGGGTCGAGTGGTCCATGTTATTTGGTTTTTCAGTGAATTAAGATTCGAATGTGGGAAAAGTGAGACCAAATAAAACGACAGTTTTGTCCAAGAAAATAGCGACGACACAGTCACACAAACACAGTTAATTTGGTGTATATCTCAAAGGTAAATTGTACAAATAATTATAGATTCATGAAACATCATGATAGACCCATAAGCAAATAGTTAATTTGTTAATAGCTTGACACAAACGTATAAGAAAATTAAGACCTAAACAAACCAGAGTTGTTATATATATACGTATCAAAAGCCTCAATAAAGCATGCATAAAGCCCAAAACATAACATGTAGATCATGCTACTTACATCAAATAAATCGAAGTAATACAAATCAGTTCGAGAGGAAATATTCATTTTTCAACCAATAGGACGGGCTTTTCTGACCTACTTATGTTGGGAGAACAAACATCTGCGGAAATGTAGAAACGAAAAAAATCGTATTACCCGTTTTGAAGCAAGTTATGGATTTTGTACCTTAAAAATCAAATTTAATGTGATTAAAAAAGCGATGTTGCTTTGACTAGAACCAGAAGAAACTCCACGTCAAAAAGCAAAGAGATGCGAACAAAACTAGAATATTTTATGTTTAGAACTGTGTGAGTTTTGGTGGTATTGGTCATGTTGATAGACAACACGATGTTTTAGATAGCGTTCGTTGTTGTAGAGTGTAGTGCATTTGCATGCTAATGGTGGTGGAGGAAGATGTGTTCGAGATCTTGATAAATTCCGAAGAACAAAAAATAAAAATTTAGGCATTAATTGTCTAACATAATAAAGCAATGCATCTGCAAAAATATAGCTACAGTTTCCCTTTTGCTGACATTTTCTTTTATACAGTATAATGAAGATGTGTTCAAGTTCTCAGCTGGATTTGTTAGAATAAGAAAAAACAAGAGAGTTATGGAAATTTAGAGGTTTCCTAACAAATAACGTACACTGACACTTTTCCATAGTTTAATTTAAAATACGTACTAATCGCTAATGGTGATCATTAAAATTATCACATGTGCATTATAAAAGGTGCCTACGGATATGATGGGGATGAAACCTAGTCCGTTTTAAAATACACAAGATAAGATCTTTGGACACAAGTAAAAATACAATTCATCAAAGTGTATATAAAATCTTGGGGTTTAGACATGACGATCACGGGTTGGTGTCGTTTACTCTCTTGTATTTTTTTTTATTCCCTTTCTGTTTTTTTCTCTGTTTTCTTTTATAGTTTATATAATTTACTTCTTTCTTAGCCCAGTGCAACTGTCTCATCGTCTATCAAATACATTTGGGTGTTGAGTAGCAATGATTTTATTGTACCTTCTAGATCTTTAATTTGAAAACTTCATCATATAGTTCAATCAGGGTTTTTTTTTTCTAAAAATTTGGTTCTTTTAAAAATTTATTTGTTGTCTTGCGTATTTATATAATATAACATGTATCATTTTTGCAATCTTTAAGGAAAAATAAAATTATTACCTAAAATCGTTTTATAAAATTTACAACAATAATCCCATTCAATGCTATGTTTTTTTTTTTGTCGGAGGCTGATAAGCAAATTTAACTCCTACCATACTCGGCCCACAAATTGTTATAGGTCTATGGCCCATATTCTCCCCCACGATACCGTCAAAATTAATGATATAATGTCAACTTTTAAAATAACTTTAAGATTAATTCTACTTTACGCAAAAGAAATATCTTTGAAATCTTTTTAGGGCTTATGAAAACTGGTTGGACATATTCGATCGACTGAACATCTCGACAAGTTGGTTGCGATGGGAACTTGTTGTGGCCGGCCGTTAGATCAATTAGCCGCCGTCTCCTTGGACAAGGATGTAGCTGGTCTGGTCTTGGATTTTTGACTTTGATTTATCTTAGAAAATTGACTCTCAAATATTTACCAAACCACATGTCATAAAGGTTTTAAAAGGAAGACGACGGACTCGTATAAACTTTAAATCTACAATATCCTCGCGGGAGCTCTGATCCAAAAGAAGTTGTCACGTAGCAGGGAATCACATGTCTTTTTCTACCAACCACGCATTTACATCACCAAATGTGTATGTCAATTTATATATACAAAGATATATATAAAAAAAGTTCAAAGAACATGTAATGTTAAAACACTACATTCTTCGACCATCATAGTACATGCTTAAAGGCCAAATCAAGGTTCTTTGCAGAGTGATAGTCAAAAATTAAAAAAGTTACAAAGCTGATGTTTGATCGATCGACATGGATTACAAATCTGATCATGTCTGTGTATCTTTGCTTATGCAGTGGCAAGCTGCTACAGATAACTGAATTAGATATTATGCAATGAAGGAAAAATAGCTTAGTTGGATAGCTTTAACTTGTGTCCCATCGTGCTGCGGTTGGCTGAGCTGAAGATGGACAGGTTCGCTCGAGTTATCTCTCATGTCTAGACCATTTGTGAGAAGAGAATTTTTGTCGGCGCTTTTCACACCCTCAACCTCCGAAACCTGTGGAGTAGCCACATTACATTAAGAAGAAAACACATGTTTGTACATTTCCTTCAAAATCCAAGATACCTGCCTTCTTATGTAATTCCATATTCTGTTGGTGCATTAGGTTTACTTTCTTGTGAAGGTCTAAATTCTCTTGGTGCACGATGTTTCCCTGCAACCGGGAAACAGAATTATAAGAATTAGCATTTGTACGTCGTACCAACACTGTGGAAACATTCTATATTCTATATTCAGCTAATCAGGGTCCAATACCTCGCGGTTGAGTTCTTGAATTTCCTCAACTAACATTTGATCCTACAAACGTCAATGAGAAGAAAAGATTAGATAGAGTACAGTCATTACTTCTTTCCAAATCTTACATTATCAAAAGAAATTGACTAGAGCATCAAAAAACCTTTTTCATTCGTACGTCACGAAGGCTCAATTCAAGCTGATTCTCCAATTTCTGTAAATCTGCTACACTGAGTCCAGAGAGCTCTTCCCCCATCATTTGCCTGTCAAGTACACAATCTATTTAAAGCCCCATCACTTTTGAATTTTTAAAACTTTTCCTGAGTAATTATATATCTTTCCTAGTTCACAAAAAGAAAAGAAAGAAAGAGATGGGGAATCTGCAAGTGTTTGGTTATTCCCTTCTTAGATGTTTGAAGGTATATCTCTGGAGGTGGTAGAGATACAATGATGATTTTGGGGAAGACATCCAGCATCATGGTAAAATCCTTAAGAGGTGGTGAAAACATTCTATGTCGGTTCGGATTTTTTAATTTTAACATCGACATTCCTATTAAAAACTGCAAATGCTCGGATAGTTTTGGGCTCTGCATATATACGTTATCATTTTTGCACTTTGGTAAATCATTCCCTGTTCTAAGCTGTTACTATCTCGAGTGTTTGACCAACTCAGAGGATGCAAAACATACCGGTGGTTCTCTTGCAAATGATGTAGCTGTCGCTTTAGAATCGCAGCCTCCTTTTGCCAAAACTATAATGTAGCAGAAATGATTTTCAGGTGATTAAAACTGATGTTTTTGTTTTTTAATTTTGGATTAACATGTTCGCAAGTCTAGAATGGATTCTTGACAAAGAAAATAACAAATTGTTATGTAATATGATGATCAGGTGTCATGACTTGTGTTTTATAGAAAACCCTACATAAACAGATAATGCGTGGTAACTAAGGTCTCCAAGTCCAATATGAAATCGGGATCAGCTTGAGAGTTGAAATATGCTTATAAAGTTGTAACAGGCTAACATTATCAAAAGCAACAAGTAACAGTCTCTCCGTTTTAGTACGTTACTTGTTTGGTCTGTTCTTTACTCATTTACAGAATTGAGTCTTTAAACCATCCATAGAGAGGATTTATAAACAGTAAACAAAAATAAAGGAGTACCTTGATTTCTGAAGCTGGGTTATTTTCCGAATTGATTTCCCCTTTGGCATCGCTGTATCTCTCTATTATCGATTTCATGCTGCCAAAAAAAGGAACGTAGTTGTATATCTGCAGAGTGTGGTTGGTATGTAAGGTAACATAAGCAACACTAAGCCATCTTTGCATATTTCAGTGTCAAAACTTTTACTTAAATATATTTAGGCTACCCTAAGCCATCATCACCTACATGAAAATGGGATTCTCTGCACCCAAGAAAGAACAGATTTGACATAATCAAAATGTAAAATGATGTATGCAGCTTAAGCAGAGAATGAGATCAATGAGACAACATTAATGTAGATGTAGGCATGTAGCCAACTCTAATCACGAAACACGAGTATAGATATCAGCTCGCAAGTAGTGAGACATATAGGTGAAGGACCCTTTTAACACCGTTGCTTCTTATAAAAAGTCTCACCAACTCTACTGAATCTACATTTACTTTTTTACCAAAATAGCAAAACAGAAGGGGACTGATGATATAAAGTAATTGCAAAAAGAAAGACTACACTCCTCCTATATAATACTAAACAATGACCAAGTTGAATGTAGCGCATTAGGGGTTTCCTAATTGGATAAATAAAGAGGAAAAACTTGATTATGGATGACAACGAAAGCAGAAATGATTCCCCCACTTGGGTATTAATATATTAACATTAAATTAATGCAGCTCATTTTAGGTACATCAACCCACCAACTAGTTGCCAATAAAGAAGAGGAATAATGAAAAGAGATGATTTTTTCTAAAACCTCTAACCAAACCAAGAGGACATAAAGAGTGGTGATAAGGGAGAGAGAGAGAGTTAGAGTTTCTTCTCCCTTACTAAACCACTAACCACTTTCGGAAAAAAGTCTATACCAAATTTAGAATGTTTCGAGAAACACTACAACGATCTAGGCTTCAAACAAAACTCCATCTTTCTTCGTCCTATGATTAAATTCTATATTCATTTCACTTTTGTCCTGTCCTGCATCTCAATAATAACATAGCAACATACATACAGACTCAGAAAGCACAATCTCATATTCTGTTACAAAAGCTATAATCTATATCATCTATGAATCTCAAGTCTCAATCAAATCGTATTCTTTCATCCCATTCATATAGTCAAACCGACCAAGTGATCTACAAAGTTTCAGTCATTGTCAGGCCCAAGTCGATTTTCTACATGTACTATGATTCAGGCTAAACGAATCATCGTCATCATCAGGAAAGTGAACACAGCAATTGACTTTTCCAGATAGCAATAAAGAGAAAAATCGATTAGGAAATTGGAGATCAAGAATTGATCAGTGGTCAACAAACAAAACCCGATGGATTGCTACTCAATCAATCACAATGGAGCAATACCAAAAGTCAACCAAAGAGAAGGATAAAAAAAAGGAGAACCTGGAGCTGGAGAAATCGTAGAGCCGGCCGGTGCTGGAGAAGATGATGACGCCGACCTCTGCATCGCACAGAATCGCAAGCTCCCTGGCTTTCTTCAACAATCCGTTCCTTCGCTTCGAGAAAGTCACCTGACGGCTCGTCGAGTTGTCGATCCTCTTAATCGCGATCTTTCCCCTTCCCATTTCTGCAGCTTTTTTTTTTTTTTTTTTTTCAATCCCATCCACAAACATCGTCAACCATCTCCGCAAATCCAGGCCGATATTCAAAAGCTCAAAATCGAAAATTAAACATTACCTTTCTCAAATATCTAAGAGGTAACAGATCGCGCGAGATCTGCTCGGGGAGAAGAAATGTAGTTTTGATCGAATAAAAGAGAAATAATTATAAATGGAAATAGAAAGAGAAAGAGCAGAGCACAGGAGAGGCCACAAAAGGAAAGAACATATGGTTAATTTGGGAATTTAGGGCAAAAGGCTTCTTACTATATAAACATAGATCGCTTGTTATGTACTGACACATGGCATGCTATAAGTGGGTTTCTTTTGAGGATACCCCGTCTATTTTTTTAATTATTACAATCAAAACCATTATCTATTGTCGTACGACATGAATAAAAAGAAGCACACTTTTTTGTTTATTTTAGGGGGAAAAAGAAGCATACTAAAATGTATACGCTACAAACAAAAGGAACACTAGTAAACCCCAATTATTTGAGAAACCCAAAGTATAATCAAATAATTAAATTTCTGAAACCACAAAGAAAAAGGAATCCTAGAATCCCGACAGAGACGAAAAGCACCCACAGATCATATATTAGAAGCGAACGCATACGCATCTAAAAGGGTATATACCTCCTCCTCCTGTGTCTACTGTGGGAGCGTTAAATCTAAATCCCAAAATTAATCTTGTCATAAAGATGAGGTCAAGTTAAGGTTAAGGATTGGTTTACATATTCAATTAGAGTGGTGTTTTTTTAAAAGAAAATAACAAACATATTCAATTACAGCAACAAGGCCTTCATTTTGGGCCCGTTCTCCTCTGTTCTTCTATTATACTCACCACAAATTGTTATAGGCCTCTGACCCATTTGTTCCCCCAACGAATACATAACGATAATTATCGATGGACTCTGGTCTTGTCCAAAAATAAGTTTTCACGTAGCAATGAGAGTCTGAGACGCGTGTCTTTATTTACCAACTACGCATTTTGACTAATCTGTACCACCAAATATGTGTATATATTTTTATAAAAATATATATATATATGTGTATATTTATAATCAATGGCCACGTTATTGTGTGTATTATTATTACTATTATATATATACATATAGATTCTGTAGCTTTATCCAAATTAGTCTCCTCCTAACCTAACCAAGTACCAACCACTCACTTTGATAAACACGACATCACCAAAGACGCATAATGTAATCAACTCATATTCCTCAACCACCGCATGATGTAAGTCGTATTTTTTTCAGTTCTCTCGTTGTAAGTCACTTTTTAGTCCAATAATATCGTTTCTTTTATCGTCGTCCAACATTAACCCGAACTAAGGGCTGAACTAATCATCACATCAAATAAGTACCAACTCATAATTAAAAATGCTCAAACAAAGACGTCTTTATCCCAAATATCATTATGTCTTTACCACTTTCTCATGAAAAATAGTGACAACCCATTTTAGATGCTCACAAACAAACAGAACATGGTCTAGATATCGGGTTTGTAAAGAAAAACAAAAAAAAAGAGGGTGGTCTTTAATTTCAAGTAATTTCAGGCCTCGAGTTTGCTTCCTTCGACATCAACCACGAACCTATAACGCACATCGTTCTTCTCGAGTCTCTCAAACGCAGTGTTCACATAATCCATCTTCACAACTTCGATGATCGAACTCAGACCCTTTTCTTTGCAGAACTCAAGCATCTCCTCTGTTTCCTTCATGCTCCCAATGAAGCTCCCCGTTATCACTTTCCTCCCTAATTAAAATCATCATCCCCAAATTAGTCCTCAAAATCACAAAAACATTAATAGTTATTTATTTTGGTTTATTTATTTGACTCACCAAGCATAACCATAGGAGTGAGAAACTGCAAGGGATTGCTGATGACTCCCATGAGAATGAGTTTCCCATCAAGCCTAAGCAGAGACAAATAAGGCTCAAGTGCATGATGAACAGGGACCGTGTCGATTATGTAATCCATTGAATCCGCCAATTCGTTCATCTTCGATTGGTCGGATCCGATCACGTAATCATCGGCTCCAAGATCTTGCAAAGCCTCTTCTCTCTTCTTGTTTGATGAGCTTATGACGGTGACATGGTGACCCATTGCTTTGGCTATTTTCACACCCATGTGACCAACTCCACCTAACCCTAGTATGCCTCCTCTTAGGCCTGGTCGTTTTAGCCCGAAGTGGTTCAGTGGACTGTACACTGTCACACCGGCGCACAGTAGCGGTGCAGCCTGCTCAACCGCCATTCCTTCTGGAATCTTCACCACAAACCTGAACACAAACTGACCCTTTAGCCATACATACCCTAACCTGGTCTCCAAGAAACCCAAACTAAAACCTAAAGATCAGGGTTTTGAATATCGATTTATTATTAAAAACACATTCGTTTTCATATGCATCACTTTGATATTAGAATAATTTATCGTTGATTTCCAAATATTAGTTTCCTCATTTTTTTTTAATTTTTTAATAGAAAATTTCTTGACTTTTTCAAATCTTCATTAGTATAGTTTAGTTTGTATATCAAAATGTTAGTTGAACAAACACCAAGACTGTGATTTTTGTTTCAACACATGATTTTCAACATTAGAATTTTGAAATGTTAATCACATAACACAAGATTGATATGATTGGATTTAAAAAATGTAAAAGCAACTACCCAAATCCAATAAAACGTAAAATAATTAATTTACGAAGATCATGAGTTATAATGGTATAGAAAGCCAAAAAGCAGGAAAATAAAAAGGGGAAGAACTTTACTTTTGGTGAACGACGGTGGCTCTAGCGAAGCCACCTTGTGTGGGTTGACCATCGAAGTAAACATCATTGTAACTCCAGATCTTCTTAGGACAATACTGTTCCAGATCTCTCTCGCATGGGCTACATCCTCCGCAGCATCCAACGAGGCAACCAACTCCAACTATATCCCCTGCGGTGAACTTGCTCACACCTGATCCTACCTCCACCACTTCCCCTACAACCTCGTGCCTGAACAACATCAACTTGAATTTCAGATACACTTCTAGATTTTCTTGGCTATAAGGAGGAGAAGAAGAAGAAGAAGAAAAGTTACCCAGGAACCATGGGGTAATTAGACATGCCGAGATCGTTCTTGGTTTGGTGAAGATCGGTGTGGCAGATTCCGCAGCATATGATTCGTATGTGTACATCCTCTGGTCCTGTCTCTCTGTAAATTATATACCAATTAATGGAAATGAAAAAAAACCTAGAAAATGACTCGAAAGATCAGAAGAAGAGAGAAACGAACCTGAGAGTGTAAGTGTAAGGAGAGAGTAACCCAGATGGGTCTCTCGCAGCCCATCCTGTTGTTTTCCTCTCTACCTCCATTTTCCCCATTTTCTGATTCTCTCTCTCTCTCTCTCTGTGTGTTTCTTTCTGTTTTTCTAGTGCTTCTTGATCTGACACCCTGTTGCCGAGTATGTGTGTGTATTATTATTATATATAGAGAAAGTTGGAAACGAAACGCATGCGTATGTGTATGTGTATGTGTAATTAAATAATTGGTGTTGCATAGCGTACATATTGGTGGCTAATTTTAGTGTGAATTTGTGTTATATTGTTGACAAATTAGTCAAAAAAGCTTTAAAATCTTTAGTCGTTGAAAATAAGCTTCTAGACAATATCATCTTTCTTCTTTTTATAATAATTTTCTGCGTGAATTTATTTTTTGATTCGCATTCTTAATTTGATCTTTCAGTTTATGATAAGCATGTGTTTAATTACGGTGGCTGTTTTTCTTTTGCCAACTCGAAAGACGAAATACCAAATGAGAAAGAATGAAATTGTCTTTTAAGCAAAAAAAAAAAAAAAAAAAAAAAAAAATTGTCAGCTTTGAAAGGAAAAAAATCCCCATTCTGATGTGGACTCGTCAGCTAATAGGGTCCACGGGAGTTGGTGAGCTAACATTGTGGGGTCTTATCTTCTGTTGCTCGGTTTACATCATGATTCAGTGTCGTTCGGCCACGTGTTCATTCCAAATCAGCTGTAAATATTTCCCACTCAATACATATTCCTTTGTTTTGACGGCCCAGATCAGATCTAATATAGTTCCTTTTTTTTTTTGTTAATCGGATTAGGACATCATAAAATTCAGTCATGGTTAAAGAGACATATGTAATTATGTATACTCAAACTGAGAGAACATACGTGGTGAGAAAAGCTCTTAAATCTAGGGATTTTGCAAAGCCCTCCTTAACTGTGGAAAATATGTAACGCTTATAGTTATAATAAAGGTTATTGTTTGTAACTATTAAGTTTTAAAAACTGCTGACAAAAACTATATGAAAAACTTGTAGATAACGGTCATACACAAATTCAAATCGCTTTTGGCCACATAATTTATTGGACCATTGATCCACAAAACTGAAGAAATTGGCGGTCATATATAAAACAACATTTGAGCACAAATTTTACGTCACTGCCTACGAGTTTCCCCATACTAATGACGTACTATGTACTGATTATTAGGATCAATTTGAAGCAAGTTTCGAATCATTCGATAGTCATGGCTTTGGACTCTGGAACAAGAGAGGTTTGTATGTGCTAATGCATGGTTGCAATCTCTGCACAAGGTCACACCGAACCCTAGCTCTAAGCTGTCCACTATATGCATACCACATATATGGATCAGGTGGACTACCTATCTGATGTTATTTTGACCTTGCAGGTTAAGAAAAGCGTTTCTCCATGGGAGGCGTACATGGCAAGTAAACTCTTAAGGCATACTCATATCTTCAGTGAAAGAAAACCTTTTAGCCGACCATTTAGTTGTTCTTTGACCTTTTCTTGGCTTTTACTTTTCCTTATTTGTCGACATTCCCTTCTCTCGTAATCGATTTCTCCTCTTCAACTCAAGTAGTGTTTTTCAAAGTGATGTCTTAGATTTGACTCAGATGATAGGTTACTTAAAAAGAGTGCTCTTGTTTGTTCTGTTGTCGTTAACGTTAATTTACAAATCATTACGACGAACCATAGCAAAGGCAACATATATATTATACATGTATCACTACGTACTTTTGTTGTCAAAAATGACCAAAACCATAAGAAGTGTTGTTTATTTAGATTAACAACGTAACCAACTTTTTTCCGAGAAGACGACGAAATATCAGCCTTTTTTTTAAGCAAAGTATTAAACTAGAAATCCAACTAAAATACTAAAGAGTCAATGTATAGTGATTTATGGTGAGTGACTGATAAGCAAGTGAATAAACAACTTCATCATTTAACCTAAGAAATAAGAGAGATATTTGATAAGTTGCAGATTTTAATCCTCAATTTGTTTTTCTATTGTGCCGCAGAAGTAAATTAATTTTAGTTTTAGAATCTCACTTTTTTTTAAAGTATGTAATCGGTATTTTTGTTATTTGGAAAAGGCCAAGAAAGCTAACACACAGAGTTGGGCCTTGGGATAAAGAGGCTCTGAAGCATCGATTATATAGACTCTGATAGCAACTTGGTGAAAATGTTGGTCCTTTGGTGGAAAGAGTCTATGATGAAGCAATATGCATATCTTCACAAAAAAAAAAAAAAATGCATATCTTAAAATTTCGACTTTACTGTTTCTATTGACTAGCATCGCTTCAAATTGAAACAAAGCCCATCATCGCACTTCCCCCAATTACAAAAAAAAAAAAAGACAAAGATTCGAATGCAAATGTCAAAGACCCCTAAATTCACAAATTCGATGACCAAGACAGAAGAGAGCAGCATGAACCGTTTGACGTGATATCTCCGGGCTTCATTGCATTAACGTATATAGGACGCGGATTTGTGACTATAAATGGGGCCCATGCTTTTATTATTGTATTAGTATTTCTCTTCCACACGTCTCTCTTTCGACCACAGGCTTCTCCCCTTCTAATAATAACGACATCTAATTGCTGCTTCTCAGCAGATTCTTCTTAACTGGAACAAGTTATGACGAAGCTTCTAGAGATGAATCTTCACACCCTTCGTTTTGCCGAGGGGTTTTGTCGTACCAGGTACTCAATTTACGCTGCCTCTCTCACTCGACCATAACTGTTAGCTACTCGTTGACGAAATTAGAGGAACTGAGACCCGTTTGGATAAGTTGTTCGATTTAGTGCTCGAAACAAAGTCTGTCCCTTTTCAAATTGGGAACCATTCCCACACATTGTAAGAACCTGATTGCGTAAGGAATCGCCCCTCTTGTTGCAGATTAAGTGTTGCTTCCTTGGCAACTTCACCCTTTCGGTTATCTTCTAGTGGATATTGCGGCAAAACTCGTATCTCTTCCCGCTTGAAATTGTGAGCAGTTAAAAACATAATTATATATCCATGGTTTTGCTTTTTCCTAGTCTTGCTTTTAAGTCTTCTCACAATGGCGGTTTTGGTCTCTGGAGTCAGTGCTTGCTATGCAACAGTGTCTGCTGTGGTAGAGAAGAACACCTCAGATTTCGATGGAAAGGAAGCAGCTTTGCTTGTGGAAGAGCTCAGAGTCAACTTCAACTCCGGCGGAACAAGGAGCTACGAGTGGAGAATTTCTCAGCTTCAGAACATTTCCAGGATGATTGATGAGAAGGAGAGATGCATCTCCGAAGCTTTGCATCAAGATCTTTCCAAGCCTGAGCTTGAAGCTTTTCTAGCTGAGGTTTTGCTATATAATTTCAATGTCCCTTTCCTTCTCTGCAGTTTCAATTTATCTACTGTTAAATCACTTTTTCTGGTGTCATCTTGTTTTCTCAGATTTCGAATACAAAGTCATCCTGTGTGCTTGCAATCAAAGAGTTGAAGAACTGGATGGCTCCCGAAACGGTAACTAGAAACCTTCTTTCAAGCTTTTTATTGCTTCATCAATATGTTTCCAGTCCAAAACCAATTGCCTGATCTATGCTTGAAAATTTCAGGTAAAAACCTCTGTGACAACATTTCCTTCGTCTGCGCAAATAGTCTCAGAACCGCTTGGCGTTGTTTTGGTTATCTCAGCCTGGAATTTCCCTTTCTGTAAGCTCCAAACTGCTTTTGAAACTTTTGTCTTACTAAATTTTGTAAAAGCTTATATGCCTCTTAATGGTGTTTTGATTTTTCTCCAGTATTGTCTGTTGAGCCAATCATTGGAGCTATTGCAGCTGGTAATGCGGTTGTACTAAAACCTTCTGAAATTGCTCCGGCGACATCTTCTCTTTTAGCAAAGTTGTTTAGTGAATACTTGGACAAATCAACAATCAGAGTTATCGAGGGAGGAGTCCCTGAAACAACAGCACTACTGGATCAGAAATGGGATAAGATATTCTTCACTGGTTTGCCTTTTTCCTGTGTTTCTTTTTTTTTTGTTTTCAAATTTTGATTAGGCTCTTATAGGAAAACATGATTTTGAATAACCAAAGTCTTTTATTTTAGGTGGAGCAAGAGTTGGTCGCATTGTAATGGCTGCAGCTGCGAAACATCTTACACCAGTGGTTCTCGAACTTGGTGGGAAGTGTCCAGCTCTTGTTGATTCAGATGTTAATCTACAAGTTAAGATCAGTTTCTGCCTCCAAAGCATAAAACAGATAACTTCAGGTCGCATACTAGTCTCTAATCGTGGTGCTGTGATTGAAGGTGGTTGCTAGGAGGATCATAGCAGGGAAATGGGCTTGTAACAACGGACAGGCTTGCATTGGAGTCGATTACGTGATCACAACAAAAGATTTTGCATCAAAACTGGTAAAGACTAGTTGATATAAAAGCCAATGATTTTATCAGTATGCTCTATATGTTTCTCAGGCTTGCTGATGCAAATCTAGCAGTACAGATAGATGCTCTCAAGACTGAGTTGAAGACATTCTTTGGAGAAAATCCATTAGAATCAAAGGACCTGTCGCGGATTGTGAACTCTTTCCACTTCAAACGGTTAGAGAGTATGTTAAAAGAGAATGGAGTCGCTGATAAAATTGTTCAAGGAGGGCAAACAAGCCAAGATAAGCTGTGAGAGAAGATTGTTTCCTGTCGATTAAAAATGGTTCTTGGGGAATAAACAAACTAATCGTTGTGTATTCTTTCCTTTTACAGGAAAATATCTCCAACGATACTAGTGGATGTGCCAGAGGCATCTTCCATGATGCATGAAGAGATATTTGGACCATTGCTTCCTGTAATTACGGTACAAAAGATCGAAGACGGTGTTCAGGTTATACGTTCAAAGTCAAAGCCTTTAGCAGCGTATCTCTTCACATACAGCAAAGAGTTGCAGAAGAAATTTGTGCAGGACGTAGCTGCAGGAGGCATTGGCATCAATGACACCGTCTTACACGTAAAGAAGAACTGTTTTTCTTTTTAGCCATACAGGTAAAGAAGAAACGTTTTCATCAAAGATGGTATTGCTTTCTGTGCAGGTAACTGTGAAAGATTTGCCATTTGGAGGAGTCGGGGAGAGTGGGATCGGGGCTTACCACGGGAAGTTCTCGTATGAGACGTTTAGCCATAAGAAAGGAGTTCTCTACAGGAGTTTTGCTGGGGACTCGGATCTTAGATACCCTCCTTACACACCCAAAAAGAAGATGTTGCTTAAGGCCTTGCTCTCTTCAGATATATTTAGTGCCATTTTGGCTTTCTTTGGCTTCTCTGGAGACTCATGATTACACAACTTGCTGAAACTGTTCAATGTGAATGTTTCCATGGAGATATACAAGATCAATATTAAAAATTAGTCGTAGAAACCGAATTGCTATTCTTTTTTATGAATAAAAGTTATGTTTCACACTCAGCCCTTGAATTAGTTACATTTGTCGTCTGTAAGTGTTGGGCAATGATATGATCGAATTTTTTCTAAGTCATGTTATCGTCCAATTGTGTAGCGGTAGACTCAAGAACAACCTTAATCTTTATCATTCTTAAATTATTTTTATATCGAAATGTTTAGCATATGGTAGCATTTTCAATTACACTGATTAAATATTAACATAAAGTATCCGGTTATAGATGTAACAGTTGTCATAATTTGTAATAAATCAATATTAAAAAAGTACATCTACGGGAAACTCGACGAAATTCCAGATTTGGTGGAGGTTAGAAATCTAGTTTTTATAAATACGAAAAAAAGTAATAATAATAAGGAAAATTGGTTAGGAAATAAACATCCATCAACGAGTTGCAGAACCGAACCATGCTTTTGTCCAACACGTCACACTCCCAAGTCTTTGTCAAAGCATAAATTTGTAATTGAATACATTATGTTTCGTGATGAGCAAACTCGTAAATAGGTCTCTGCCCAACCATATTTTCTATTACATTGAGATCTGCGCACCATTCCTCCGCTTTAAATGATGGATGAGTGCAAATTATCTGAATACAATTATTATGCTGCGTTGTTGCGCCCATAAATAACTTGTATCTACTCCTCCATTCCATTATATTTATTACTTTGCCCTATATGGATCATATATCATTCAATGTCTATTATCATGAAGGGAAATATTTAGATATCTTTTATTATTTCTCGAAGAAATCGTTTGCTTGAATTCTTCTGTTTCTCTACGAGTAAAAATATACCAAAGCTGATAGGTTTTTTTGTTAAGGTTATGACTTTTGAGATTTTACTATGTAACTCAAAAAGGTAATTTCCTTGTTACCTGACAAAAAATGTCTTTTATTTTTTTCCTGAATTCTCAAGTAAAAGAAATGCCAATTTTAGAGATGAGTAAACAATAGATACTTGTTTATTTGCTCAATTTCTTACTTTGGATGTTGAGTAAAATCCAATTTTTTTAATTATTGAAGAAATACACTCACATAATTTTTGCAAAACATCTTCACGCATGCATCAGTTCTGTGTCAATCGGTTACGTTTCATCATTTTTTTGGTTGGGAGTAAACCGACAAACAGCGTAATGTCTCCATCCATATTTGATTTTTTCCTCAAAATACGAAGCGATTATATAATTTATAGACCTTCACATGGCTCGACAATTCTAGTCTGAGGTTAGCACCTAACTAAGCCTAGCTATGCGATCACATCCTTAGTTTGCGTGATGCGTTTATCCTCTTTTAAACCGGTCTTATTGGTTTGAGTGCATTAACATTGGTTTCGAACAACGTAACGCGGTCAGTACGTATTTGTGAATACTCGACTAATCTTTGACGAACCACACGCATCAAAGTTATTCATTCACACTTTAATTACGAATAACGCATACTTACCAAATGCGGTAAAAAACCCAGCCTGAAAAAAATCCGAATTTCTAGCCAGACTTACTAAACACATACGATTGAGGGAAAAAACAAATACAAAACTCCAAATGTCGGTTTAGGTCGTTATCCAAACTACACAAACTCATAAGATTTTTTTTTAAAATATTTATGATATACATTTATTGCATGAGAACTCTCTCTCTATCTCTCTTCTTCTTATCACTCCTCTCTCTTACTCAATCAACCTCTATAAGTTTAATACGAGTCAGAACGAACAAAGACCACACCACAAGTTTAAAGACAGAACTGGGGGAGATATATCACTAAAATGTATTTCCCAATGAAGAACGTAAAAATGTTTTTCAACTACCTCATGAACCATCGCTTCAAGCTCTGTTTCCTCCCGTTATTGGCTGCTATAGCCATGAAGGCGCCTCGTGTTTCCACTCAAGATCTCCACAGCTTTTACCTCTACTTACAATACAACCTCACATCTCTTACCATATTCTCTGTCTCTCTCGCTCTCGCGTCGACCATCTACATCATGTCTCGACCCAAACCCGTTTACCTTGTCGACTTCAGCTGTTACCTCCCACCGGCTCATCTCAAGGTCAGCATCCAGAAGATCATGCACCACGTAAGGGTTATACGAGAATCAGGCATGTACTGGGAGAAAAAAGAGAGCGACTACTTGATGGACTTCGTCGAGAAGATTCTAGAACGTTCCGGTCTCGGCCAGGAGACCTACGTACCGGAAGGTCTTCATCGTCTGCCGCTAGAACAAACGATGGCTGCGTCGCTCAAAGAGACGGAAGAAGTCATATTAGGAGCGGTCGATAATCTGTTCCGCAACACAGGAATAAGCCCGGGAGATATAGGTATACTGGTGGTGAACTCCAGCACTTTCAATCCAACTCCTTCGTTATCATCTATCATAGTGAATAGGTATAAACTTAGGGATGATATAAAGAGCTTGAATCTTGGTGGGATGGGGTGTAGTGCTGGAGTTATTGCTACTGATGTCGCTAAGAGTTTGCTGCAAGTTCATCGAAACACTTATGCTCTTGTGGTCAGCACGGAGAACATCACTCAGAACTTGTACACAGGTAACAACAAATCAATGTTGGTTACGAATTGTTTGTTCCGGGTAGGTGGGGCTGCGATTCTGCTCTCTAACCTGTCTAAAGACCGAAAACGCGCGAAATATAAGCTTGTTCACACCGTGAGGGTCCATACCGGGGCAGATGACCGGTCCTATGGGTGCGCGACTCAAGAAGAAGATGAAGATGGTGTAATCGGAGTTTCCTTGTCGAAGGATCTACCTATGGTGGCTGCAAGAACCCTAAAGCTCAATATCGCAACTTTGGGTCCACTTGTTCTTCCCATAGGCGAGAAGCTTCTTTTCTTTGTGACATTCGTTAGAAAGAAGTTTTTCAACCCCAAGATGAAGCATTACATGCCGGATTTCAAACTCGCTTTCGAGCATTTCTGCATCCATGCGGGTGGTAGAGCGCTTATAGATGAGCTGGAGAAAAATCTCCATCTCTCTCCGTTACATGTTGAAGCATCGAGAATGACATTGCACAGGTTTGGTAATACATCTTCGAGCTCTATCTGGTACGAGCTGGCTTACACAGAAGCCAAAGGAAGGATGAAGAAAGGAGATAGGATTTGGCAGATTGCATTGGGGTCAGGTTTTAAGTGTAATAGTTCGGTTTGGGTGGCTCTTCGTAACGTCAAGGCTTCTGCTAGTAATCCTTGGGAAGACTGTCTGCACAAATATCCGGTTGAGATTGACATATGATTTAGGAGAGTGGCCGGTTCTATTCGTTTAATTTACGGAAATAGATTGGTTTTATATGGTCAGTCGGCCAAATATGTAAACCAATCTATCATCATTTCTCCATGTATCTCGTTAACTATTTAAGCATACATAAATATGGTGATGTTCTTTTTTACAAATAAATATAAGAATTGACCAAAATTTAGGTATTTGTAGTATGTAAAGAAGAACAAAGAGATAATATAAAATGGATGTATGAAACATAGAATAAAAGGTTGTTTTCATGCTTATAATTATACAATAGAAAATATAATTTATTTATTCGATCTCTATTAATGAATCACCGCTGTACACTTGTACTTGTACATACAGACACAGTAACAAATTCAAACGTTCAATAAATGCAATAATGTCATAAGCATGTTAAGATATCTCTCTTTAAAAAATGGGGAAGAGGATATTTAGCAAATCAATCTTGCATGTTAGATGACGAAACTGTTCTCGGTACAATACTTTTAGTCACAGCGTATCTGAAGTCTGAAGATTTTGTTATTACATGAAGCAACTTGACCATCATTAAAATTTTCGTTAATCAATTTTCTCATGTTTTGTTATTTTAGAAAAAACGCTAGAGGAGTGATCAGCAGAGACTTTGACAAAATCCTTCAACAAATTGTTAAGCCCAACAAATATGTCAATATCACAAGTTGCAAGCTTAGAAATATATGTTCTGCTTCGGCTTAACATCAAAAGCAAGAAGATGTTTCTTAAGAACTTTTATGTTGTAGTAATTCGTATTAAGCCTAATAGAAACAGTCATGTGCTACGACTGTCTCTTTGATGTATTTAACTAAGTGAAGACAAATTCGAAAGAAAGCTTTTTATTTTAAATGAAATTACATTTAGATATAGTGAATTTAGTTAAGTTTTCTACTTAACAAGAAGCACCAAGAACGAAGGAGGACTCTATACCAACTTGTTGGCATACCATTTAGAGAATATAGACGCATATAGACTGGTGTAATATCGCGTACTTGGTCAGTCCTAATATGTAAACTAACATTTGTATATCCTTTCTGCATGTAGTTGTGTATCATTGCTCTATTTAGAAGTTTTTCTTTGTTTTTGTTTTTATTGCGGTGATGTTTCTTTCTCTGGTTAACTATATAAGTTTAAATAAATAATTATGAGTTTTTTACAAATATTGATTAAAATTGATCAGAAGATAAGTAGCTCTAATATGAACAACACAGAAGTAATTAAGTAGTTGTGGTTTAGTGATTCCTACTTAAAGAAGAGTTGGTCTGTTAGTATACATCATAGATCAATTTCTCTCAAACATATAATTGTTTAAACCATTTTTATTTGGCCACCTCTTGCTTTTGAGAAGCACCTCTATACAGATCTTACCCAGTCCTTCAAAGACTACTGTTAGAAAGTACAGATGGAGACCCTCGCTTTTTGCCAAAAATTGATGGTGCATTTTAATCTATTTCCACTTCTTCAAGTGATGAAGTCTCCTTCTACTCGGAGATGGACAAGATAGTCTCTAACTATGGTTTTCAGAGAGACTATAACCCAGATCGGAGATGGCAAAAGTATGTTTGATGTTTTTCTAAAGATTTTGTTTAGGTTTTCCGCTGTCTCTGGGTTAATTGAATGATCCCCTAGACTTAGACCAACTCCAATGGTAACACCAAGGGATCTAATAAATGTTCTTAAGAATATAATTGAATAAAAAAATTATAAGGAGTGTCTTAACTTTTAGACCAGTGTCTAAATTAGGATCTTTGTTCTTATTTAAGAACGGACACGTGGCAGATTATAAGTGGATAGGGAAAATTGACAAAAAAATATTTCATTTTTAT